CTGCAAAGATCAAAACTGAAAGGGCCCTTGGTTATATAGACAGGACGACGAACCGCTGTTACTTTAACCAAAACAATAAACAGACGGATTGAACTGGCGTGTATTCTAAAAATATTTTTGAAAGGATAATTTTAAAGTCAGAGGTCGTCAATGTAAGAGTTAACGCTGAATCCCTTGGGGGAGGGGAGGGGAGAAACACTATTGGAAAAGTGAGTAATCTATATATCAAAGTTAGACTCACTCGCGAAAACAGCTTTTTCCCGAATTGAAGGAATTTTATAGATAATTATATGATAATGGTTATTAATCTCATTCGTACAGGTTGGGGCAAGCTAACGGCCGGTGGGGCTGATCCACGTGTCCTAATGCAAGTGTCCGTTCCTATTGTCTCGAGAGAAAAGTGCAAAAATTCCTAACCTGGTAAAATTTACGATTCCATGATCTGTGCCGGGTACGATCAGGGGGGCCGAGACTCTTGCCAAAACGACTCTGGGGGTCCTCTTGTGTGCGAGCAATTCGGGAGGTTCTATTTAGAGGGTATGGTCTCGTGGGGTGAAGGATGTGCCGGACGGTTAAAATACGGTGTTAAAGCATTGCGAGCATTGAGAGCATTGCTTTGTTCTTTGGATCTTGTATAAAAACTCGCTTGGCATCCTGGTCCACGAATTCCCTCCTGTTCAAAATTTGCTCAATCAATTCACGAAGGTGATTTTGAAGTGCCAGGGTCTCTCTTGGGGATGGCTTTCCTTGCATTTTGATATCAACGAATTTGGCTGTTGAAATATACATCAATGCCATCGAGTAAGAACATACTAATAAATGAATAAATAAATAAAATCTTTTATTTTGAGAGGGTAGCACGAATTAGTCTCTAGACTAATAAACGAAAGAAATTCTTCAAAAGTTGGTTCGGCTGAAACCGGACCAACCGGACCGGTGGCTACGCCCCTGTTCTATTAATATTATTTCAACCATGCGTCACCCGATAGGGAAATAGCGTTAGCTATCTAAAAAACAGTTCATTGCGGACTGTCGAATATAAATGGTCTCCTACACGGGTACCTGCGCCATCTTGAAAGGTAGCCGTGCCTTTGCACCCAAGCGAGACGACCGTGTTGAGCGTGCAATGATAGATACCTGTGAATAATTGTCTGTATAGGTGTGAAAGAAGGTTTCTATCCCATTGCACGCTCAACGGTTGTCTCGCTTCGATGACAAGGCACGGCTACCTTTCAAGATGGCGCAGGTAACCGTGAGGAGGAGACTATTCGATAGTTTTGCACATTTTTCTGATTTACTCAAAATCTAGCTGGAAAAGTTGTCTTTATGTTTTGATATGTTGTAGATATGGCACTTTTCCTACAGGAACAATTTCAGGGTAGATCAACGACTTAGGTGTTTAGATATTTTGCGTTAAACACAAAATTGCCTTATCTGCCATGTTCAATGTTCCACCACAGGAACCCCAACAGCTAAAAAGTGCACGCGCGGTAAGGATGACCTTAAAATACAGCGGTTTTACTTACTAATCAAGGCAAAGACTCTTCTTCTGAGTTCTGCGATGCTTTCGCTCCATCGCAGAGAATTAGCATCCGCCCCTTCGTTTGCCCGTCCATAGACAGTAAGGCTATCACGATCAGTTGTCAACGTCTTGTCTTTGTACTCACGAAAGGCGTCGTTCATAAAAGGGAACTGCTTTGTTACATCTTTGTTTCTATCTGTGGTGTCTTCAACTATAAATTGGTCTCCCGGGCGAGCTGTACAAAATTTACTGATACTCGTTTCTTCAAATATGTCGTGAATCATTTTTGTGAAAGCTTTCGCGATGTTGTTGAATAAATGATCGCCCTTTTTGTTGCCGTCCTGACATTCTCCACCAAAGGCAAAAACAGCCAGTAGAATTAATATAAGATTCAGAGCCTTCATTACTATTTCTAAATAATTCAAAACAAAAGATTTAGAACATACAATCATGAAATAAGATATAGATAAATGTTTCATGAACATCATATTGTGTATAATGATCGAATGTATTTTGTTTTACTTAAAAGTTTGAAGCTTAAAACACTGATCTTTTTGATATTAAAATTAGTCTTGCATGGTTTCAGTAGCGTAGCGAGAGGGCAGAGGGGAAACACAACTTTTTTGAGTAAAAATATATAAATAAACAAAACCAAAGCATATTAAACAAGATTAAACCAACACAAAAATATTTTCTTGCTATGCCCCTGCTTGAAATGTAAACTTGCACTACTTAGTACGGTCTAAAATTGGAAAACATTTGGAAGAGGTGGCATAGGAAGAGCAGTTCTTTGATTTATTTTGAATGTACCCAGCTCTTCGCTCACTCAAGCTTTTAATTCTGATTCTAGATGAAGTAAATAGTTGTTTTTTCGTCTCAGCATTGTTGCGTTTTTAAGTTATGAAAGTTTATTTGTCAAATATGTTAATGTTTGGCTAATCTAAAGACCATTATCATATTGTGAAAAGGTTGAGACCCTAAGGTGTTCTGGGTAAACAGTTTATATGGCCTTGTAAAACTTATGAATAATTAATGAGCAAAACAAAATAAAAATCACAACCGTGAAGAGTGTTGTAGTATTTGATACAAAACTGTCTTGATTTGCATAAACTTCAAATCTAATTTTCTCAGCTAAATTCAATTCTATCTTCAAGTTTTTAGTAGATTATGAATGTATACACCTAGCGTTTCACAAGTAATTTACAACATTCGCGTCCGTGTTGTATGGGCTTTACAATCTCTCGCCATCGGCTCGTGATTGTAAAATTCCATACAACACGGCCGCTCATGTTGTAAACATTGCATATTGTAGATGTGTCAGGGTGGTCCACTGTTGACCTGTATGCATGATGCAACACTAGTGTTGTATGTTTCTCTCATTGATCGTAACACTGCTCTCACACCTAAGGTTCGTGCTCCTAATGACCGTATTCCTTTTACTCTTACTTATCATCCTATTAAAACAGTTCTATTAAGCCTATTATTAATCGTAACTACTTCTTACTCACTTCTGAAACTAACACTTCTCACATCTTTAACGACCGACCCCTTTTTTCTAATAAACGTGACCGTAACCTTCGTTCTTTCCTAGTCAAAGGTGTTTTACATTCTAATAATGATCCTGGCACTTTTCGTTGTAAGCGCTGTAACACTTGTCCGTACATTGTCTCGCACACTTCCATTGTTGGTCCTAACTCGTCGCTCAACATCACTGATCACTTTGATTGTACCACCTCTAATGTTGTTTATTGCATTAAATGTTCGCTTTGTAATTTATTGTATGTCGGTGAGACTGGCCGTCGTCTTGGCGATCGTATCTGTGAACATCTTCGTAGTATTCGTAAGAATGATCTTGATAAGCCTGTTTCCCGCCATTTTAACCTACCTAACCATTCTATTTCTAACTTCATTGTTTTTGGTTTGTCTTTGATTAGCGGCAATAATGATTGTCGTAAAACCAAAGAAATGCGGCTCATTTACCAATTGGGCACTTATAATCCCCATGGGTTGAATGAACGTTTGTTTTCAGATAAGTTTTAATTCTTTTGTTTCCTTTTTAGCACCTTTATTGTTCTTTTGTCTAACACTTCCTTTGCTTTTTTGTTTATTTCTCGTTACCATGCATACTTTGCTCCTATTGGTCTATTCTCTTTGCTACTCTTACTATATAAACTCACACCATACCTATTTCTCTCTCTTTACTCCGACGAAGGATTAACATCCGAAACGTCAGTAAGTTATTTCCCATACTTTTTTACGGTGTTAAACTTATCTTCTTTACACAACTGTTTCTTTAGAAACACCGACGCAGCTCACACTAGTTTACCGCTAGTTCCCACCATTTTACTAGTGTTGTAAATGTGGTACAACACTGATTAATAAAACATTAGTGTTATATCAGATATACAAGGTTCATGCATCACGTGGTCTAATGGACAACCTTGATTGGACTTACGCCTTGTGAATCATTAATGAGTTGTAAAAATTGTTTTTATAATGCAATTGATAGGTATATGTTGTTTGTTTGTTTGTTTGTTTGTTTAGCTATTGATGTAAGCATGTGTTTTGTTGTTGCAGTGATCAAGATTCAGTTGATGGTCCACTTGATTATCATTTCCTTCTTAAACAGACACTGCATCCGCTTTTGTTATAGTTTGTTAACCAGCATTACTA